AAAATAAGGGCTGGGGTTGTAGCTCAGTGGTAAGATGCTTACCTAGCATGCATGAAGTATTGGGTTCAATCCCTAGAATCACATAAAAAAAAAACTAAATAAACAAAATAAAGGTATTGTGTCCATCTACAACTAAAAACATTTAAAAAATAAAAAGTGGGCTGGGGTTGTAGCTCAGTGGTAGAGTGCTTGCCTAGCATGTGTGAGTCACTGGGTTTGATCCTGAGCACCACATAAAAATAAATAAATAAATAAAATATCCATTTACAACTAAAAATATTTTTAAAACAGGGGCTGGGTATGTAGCTTCATAGTAGAGCACCCCTGGGTTAAATTTCCAATACAAAACAAAAAGCTATGGTCTATTTTATAAATTTTAAAATTTATTAACCTCTAAAGTTCTTCAGTATACCTACTAATTACAATCTCTTCTTTAACATTGAGCCACATCCTCAGTCCTTTTTGTTTTTTATTTTGAGACAAGGTCTAGCTAATTGTCTGAGGCTGGTTACAGAGTTGCAATGCTCCTGCCTTAGCCTCCCAAATCCCTGTGATTACTGGTGTGCACCAATAGCGCCCACCTAATCATTATCTATTCTTTCCTAAGAACAAGAAGAAATTCTTTAACAGTAGAGCCAGGAAGAGGACTGTAATCAGCAGCCGCTATAATCGCTCACAATGAGTCCACCTTCTGACAATCACAACCCTGTGGAATTTCCTCCCCTTCAGTGTAGGCTGAACCTAGTGACGAGCTTTTAATCAATGGAATGTGGTAAAAGTTACAGGATGTCACTTCCATGATTAGATTTCAAAATACTGGCTTGTGATATGTTAGTGTTCTCTCCCTGTTGCTGCCATTCTCTGCCCACCCCCCTTTTTTGAACCAGGGATTTAACCCAGGGGCATTTAACCACTGAGGCATATCCCTAGCATTTTTTAAAGAATATATTTATTTATTTATTACTTTTTAGGTGGACACAATATCTATATTTTATTTTTACGTGGTGCTGAGAATCGAACCCAGTGCCTAATGCATGCTAGGTGAGCTCTCTACCACTTGAGCCAATCCCCAGCCCCTCCCCAGCATTTTTATTTTTTTTTAAAGAGAGAGAGACAGAGAGAGAGACAGAGAGAATTTTTAACATTTTATATTTATTAATTTTCGGCGGTCACAACATCTTTGTATGTGGTGCTGAGGATCCAACCCAGGCTGCACGCATGCCAAGCGAGCACGCTACTGCTTGAACCACATCCCCAGCCCCCTCCCCAGCATTTTTAAAACAAAAATTTTATTTTGAGACAGGGTCTTACTAAATTGCTGAGGGCCTCACTAAATTGTCAGGTCTGGCTTTGAACTCATGATCCTCTTGCCTCAACTTCCCAAGCCACTGGGATTATAGGCATGCACCACCACTCCCAGCCTCTCTGGCCCTCTTGTTGGCTTTTTCTGATGACACTAACTGCCATGCTATGACTGACCCATGGTGAGGCCCATGTGTCAAGGAACAGAGTCCTTTGGTCCAGCAATCCTGTGAGTCAGCTTGGATCTGTATCCTTTTTTTAAATTATTAGTTGTTCAAAACATTACAAAGCTCTTGACATATCATATTTCATACATTTGATTCAAGTGGATTATCAACTCCCATTTTTACCCCATATACAGATTGCAGAATCACATCGGTTACACATCCACTTTTTTACATACTGCAATACTAGTGTATGTTGTATTTTCCTGCCCTTCCTATCCTTTACTATCCCCCCTGGATCTGTATCTTTTACCAGTAAAGTCTTCAGATGAGATCAAAGCCCCAGCTGGCACCTTCCTGACCACCTTGTGAGAGATCCAGAGCCAGAGGACCCAGTTAATCTCTGGCCAGACTCCTTAGGCATAGCAACTATAGTTTTTGTTTGTTTTAGTTTTTGTTTGTTTTAGTTTTTGTTTGTTTTAGTTTTTGTACTGGGGATTGAACTCAAGGGGTGCTTAGCCACTGAGCCACATCCCCAGCCCTTTTTAATATTTTATCTAGATATAGGGTCTTGCTGAGTTGCTTAGGGCCTCATTAATTTGCTGAGCCTGGCTTTGAACTCATGACCCTCCTGCTTCAGCCTTTTTAGCTGCTGGGATTACAGGCAAGCATCACTGCACCCAGCTATCAGGAACTGTAGACAATAAATGTGAGTTGTTTAAAGCTGCTTAGTTCTGGAGTAATTTATTATATAGTAAAGAGAACTAATGGAAAGACTTCTGTGAATACTCTATCACTTTCACACTGGGCATGTTATTTCATCTGCAAGGTTCAGTTTTCTCATTTGTAAAACCAAGCTAACAATAACATTGCATATGAGCTTTTAGGACTGTTAGTAAGATCTATAAAGGCACAACACACAGTAGGTCTTCATCTTTATGACTTCCATTCTTATAAATCTGACACTTGTTTCAATTGCAGTGCAACCAATTATAGAATATAGATTTCTTCACCACTGAAACTGCTTTATCATGAAAATTTCACTCAATTTGTTGTGTAATAGAACAGGCAGCCTTCTACATCCATTGGTTCCACAAATGTGGATTCAACCAATTATAGGCTGAAAATGTGTTTGTATTTTGTGGTGTTGGGGATTGAACCCAGGATCTCACACATGCCAGGCAGGCATACTTCCATTAAGCCACATCCCTAGTCCCTGAACAGGTTTTTTTTTTTTTAATGCATTTGTGTTGGTGTGTTGGTGCACACTTATACCAGCAATCCAGGGGGATCACACATTTAAAAACCAGTTTTAGCAATTTAACAAGCCCCTGAGCAATTTGGTGAGACCCTGTCTTAAAAGAAAAAAAAATTTTAAAAAGAGCTGGGGATATGGCTTAGTGGTTGAGCTACCCTGGGTTCTATCCCTGAAATGAATGAATGAATGAATGAATAAAACCCTGCATTTGTGCTGAACATGAACAGATTTTTTTAATATAATTTATTTCCTAAGTAATGTAGTATAGTAACTATTTACATAATATTGTTATTTAAACTTTATAGGAGGCTATGGATAGGTTATATGACAATATTATACTGTTTTGTTGGAAAAGGTGATTAATACCTGTAATTCCAGCAATTTGGGAGTCTGAGGCAGGAAGATTGCAAGTTAAAGGCCAGCCTGGGAACCCTACTAAGACCCTGTCTCAAAATAAGAAATAAAGAGGGCTGAGATTGTACTTCAGTGATAAAGTGATAAAGCATGCCTGGGTTTGATCCCCAGTACTGAAAAAAAAAAATAAGGAAACTCCAAAACTATGCCTTTTTTTTAAAGCAACTTGAACTCTGCAGATTTTGGTATCAGTGGGGGTTCCTGCAACCAATCCTCCTTGAATGCTAAGGGATAATTATTTATAATGTACCTCAAAATGTATTACCTTTCAAACTAACATCTCCATTTTGAAGCCAGGCACAGTGGTGCACACAAGTAATCCCAGTAACTCAGGAGGCTGAGGTAGGAAGATTGAAAATTTAAGGTTAGCTCCAGCAACTTAGCAAAGCCCTAAGCAATTTAGTGAGACTCTGTCTCAAAATAAAATGGTTTGGGATATAGTGTTTTTTTTTTTTTAAGAGAGAGTGAGAGAGAGAGAGAGAATTTTAATATATTTATTTTTTAGTTATCGGCAGACACAACATCTTTGTTTTTTTTTTTGTATTTGATGCTGAGGATCGAACCCGGGCCGCGTGCATGCTAGGCGAGCACGCTACCACTTGACCCACATCCCCAGCCCGGTTTGGGATATAGTTCAGTGACAAATTGCCCCTGGGTTATATTCCCAGTACGAAGAAAACAAAAACAAAAACCTTCATTTTTCCAATTCAGTGCAACACACACACTCAAATTTTGTGTGGGCCACAATTAACTATGTTACAGGAGATCATGAATTAGGCCTGGATACTGTAACCAATGTTTCCCATTCAACATCAGATCATGCCATAAAAAGTTTTCTTTTTCTTTTTTGAGGTGCTGGGGATCAAACTCAGATTCTCCCACATACCAGCCAAGTGCTCTATCACTGAGCTACATCCCCAACCCCAATAAAATCTTGTTTCCTCAGAGAAAAAAGACAGTCAAAACAAAAATAAAAAATAAAAAGCCAGGCATAGTAGCACACACCTGTAATCCCAGTGGCTCAGGAGGCTGAGGCAGGAGTTCAGTGAGTTTAAAGCCAGCCTCAGCAACTTAGCAAGACCATAAGCAATTTAGAGAGAACCTGTCTCTAAATAAAATATTTTTAAAAGGGCTGGGGATGTGGCTAAGTGGTTGAAGGGACATCCTGGGTTCAGTCCCAGTATCAAAAAATAAAAATACATATAAATAATAAAAAATAAATGAAAAATAGAAAAAAGAACAAAAAAGAAAACAAAGGATCATTGTAGTTGCTATGTAAATGGACCTCTATATTTTGGATTTTTTTTTTTTTTTTTGGTACTGGGGGACTGAACCCAGGGACACTTTATCACTGAGCTTTATGTCCAGCTCTTTTTATTTTTTACTTTGAGACAGGGTCTCACTAAGTTATTTAGAGCCTCACTAAATTGTTGAGGCTGGCCTAGAACTGTCAATCCTCCTGTTCCAGCCTCTGGAGCCACCAGGATTACAGGTGTGTGTTACCAAGCCTGCTAATAGTTTGGATCTTGAATATCTCTCAAAGCCCATGTGTTAAAGGCTTGGTCCCCAGGGTGGTGCTATTGGGAGGTGATGGAATTTATGGGAGGTGGAGTCTTGGTCTTTTGGCCATTGGTGGTGTGATCCCAACAGGGATTAGGGAACACCCCTTCCTCTTTTTCTCTTCCTGAGCTTGAGGTGAGCTGGTGTGGTCTGCCATGTGCTCTTCACCATTTACATCCTGCACCCCCACAGGAGGCCTAATAGCAATGGGTCTGCCTAATCTAGATTGGAATCTCTGCAACTAAGCTAAAATAAACCTGTTCATTTTAGAAATTGATAATCTCATATATCTCGTTATACAGACGAAACCCTCTCCGAAGAGCAGTTGCCCACACCTGATAGGGCAAGAGAATGTGGGAACATCTTCCTTACTAGATCCTCATGGATACATGGCTCAAGTCTGGCTTTTTCCTGTACTAAATCTCCCTATAATTTTTGTGTTTGCTCATGAAACTTGCATTCACGCTGAGAATCTTTATGCATAGACTCACAGACAAACCTAGGAAATAGAAAACAAATGCCTGCCAATGATCATCAAAAATGAACACAAAACGGGCGCGCACACCCCCACGGAGAGGATGGGGGGCAGGGAGGAGAATATAAAACGAGAGGCGGGGCGCGCACCGCGGCAGAAGGAGCAAAGCTCTGGCCCAGCGAGGAGTGGGGGAGTACCCGGACGCGGGTCTGGGACGTGGGTCCAGGGCATCGGGCTGTGTGAAGTCAGCGCGCTCACCTGACGGTGATCCTCGCCACCGGAGCCAGGAAGGGCGATCTCCTAAGGCCCGCTGGAGGCCTCCATTCCCGTCCAGCGGCAGCGACGACGTCTTACACCCTGCCAGCTCGGCGCTCCCGACCCTCTCTGCCCCCGCCCTGCCTCCCCTTCTTCGCAGCCCAGCCGTGGGTCTGTGGCGGACGCAGCCCGTAAGTATCGCGGAGCGACGGACGGGGCGACCCGGGTCGGGAGCCGGAGCCGAGGCAGCAAGGGAGGGGCTGCAGTGTCGTCGAGCCCCGGGGCTCGGGGATGACGGCGTCGCTGTCCGGGCGCGGAGGGGCGGCAGCTGCCGGGACCCAAAGGGAGCGGCTCCGGGGACCCGGCCCGAGGCGTGGGGCTCGACCCGGACCGGGTGGGTGATCGGCGGAAGGCGGCCTGGGCAAGCTGACGGGAGTCGGGGGTTGGGGCGCCCGGGAGGAGCGGCGAGCTCGCGGGGCGCGCTGGGGTCCGAGGGGCGGGTGGCCGCCCAGGCCGAAAATGGTGTCGGGGACCGGTGCTTCCCCGGGCGCTGGCCGGGTCCCAGGCGCCTGGGGCGGGGGGCAGGGAGCGGAGGGTCAGGTTACGGCGGGGGAGGGGAGCGGCTGTCCCGGCTGCAGCTGGCGCCCCGACCTGCCCGGTGCCCGCTGCCCGGCCGCGAGAGGTTGCCTTTCCATTTCCCGTGGCGGTCCCCCTCCAACAGCAGGCTGGTACTCTTCCTCCTCCTCCACCTCCTCTTGCTGTTGCTGCTGCCGTAGCGCTTGGGCTCCCAAGGCTGTGAGCAGAAATCTAATGAGACCCAACTAGCTGTTTATGTAATTCTTCACACTCCTATCTTAAGGCGTTGCTTGAAACTATCTTCCACCGAGCCTGAATCTCGCTCGGCTGCACCTTCAAGCAATTGAGCCTAATCAGCTGCCTTTGCTGACACTCGGGTTTGGCTTGGAAAGTGTTTGTAGTTTGGGGGCAGCCAGGGATTCTTTTCCCTTTGTCACCGCCAGTATGGAAAATGGAACAGACGGATTAATACCAACTTGATTTTTAAATGTCCTTTTTAATCAACCTCAGTGTACAAATAGATCTCCTTTGCAAATATCTTCTGTTTGCCCTTGTTCTTTTCTTATCCCCACCCAGTGCTGATCCAGCAAACGTTTAAAGGTCGACCTTATCATACTTGTCTCTCTGGGCTGTTTTCTTATCCAGAGAGGGAGGGACGTAGCTTTTAAAATCGGAATAAAACTGAGAAACCCTGCCCTTTAAACAGAATAATCAATAAGAGTTTTTAAGTTGATCGTTGTTTTTGTTATACTTGCTGTTTAAAAGGCATTTCAGATTTGGGAAAATACATGCTGAAAAGGAAAAAAAAGAAGCACAAAGAAGTGCAACTATTACATTGTGTGTTCTTAGTGTGTTTTAAGGCCGCAACCATACGGAATAACTTGGTTCGTAATTATTTATCAGGGTGACAGTTCATTTAGGATAGAGTACTTTTAATTTGGCATCATGAACTTCAAAAATTAAAATAATTTTTCTAACTTTTCAAATTTCTAAATTTCTAATATTAAAGAGCAGATTTAAACAAGATATGTCCAAAATGAACAAAAATATAGGATTCACTTCAAAATTGATGAAAAGGAATAAAAATTAATGACCAGAAAAAAAATTAATGACCAGCTTCTTAAAATGGCATGTGTATACATGGGAGTGGATGGGCGAGTGGGCATGTCCATTACACTTTCCAGCAAATATTATTGTGAGACTTGAGGAAAGGAAAAGAAAGAACACTTAACAAATATACTGGAGATGTTTTTCTTCTTAATATTCTACTCAGAAAAGGAAAATAAGTTTTTTTTAATACTGTTTTAACTGCAAATCTACCTTTTCCCATGAGACTTTGAACTTTTAAGTTTTTTATTGTGTATTCCTTTTTTTCTACTGAGTATATTTTCCAGGTTTTCCAGCCTATTAGATCTTTTCAAAAGTGAAATTACTCTAGGGATTAAACAAAAAAGGTCATGGGACTTACATTACATTTATCTTATTTGGACATGTTTGCTTTTGTTTTGTTTTGTTTTCTTAAAGGAACAAGACCACTCAAGGTGAAGGATAACCTACTAATACCAGCACTTTGAATGAGAATTTGTTTCTCTGCCACAAATTGAACTTTTTTTTTTCTTGGTGTGTGTGTGGAGGAGTTGAAACGAACCTAACTTTGTGGCATAGCAGCTATGCAGCTTGAAATCCAAGTAGCACTAAATTTTATTATTTCATATTTGTACAATAAGCTTCCCAGGAGACGTGTCAACATTTTTGGTGAAGAGCTTGAAAGACTTCTTAAGAAGAAATATGAAGGGCACTGGTATCCTGAAAAGCCATACAAAGGATCAGGGTTTAGATGTATACACATAGGGGAAAAAGTGGACCCAGTGATTGAACAAGCATCCAAAGAGAGTGGTTTGGAYATTGAYGATGTTCGTRGCAATCTGCCASAGGATCTTAGTGTTTGGATCGACCCATTTGAGGTTTCCTACCAAATTGGTGAAAAGGGACCAGTGAAGGTGCTTTATGTGGATGATAATAATGAAAATGGATGTGAGTTGGATAAGGAAATCAAAAACAGCTTTAACCCAGAGGCCCAGGTTTTTATGCCCGTAAGTGACCCAGCCTCTTCAGTGTCCAGCTCTCCATCGCCTCCCTTTGGTCACTCTGCTGCTGTAAGCCCTACCTTCATGCCCCGGTCCACTCAGCCTTTAACCTTTACCACTGCCACTTTTGCTGCCACCAAGTTCGGCTCTACCAAAATGAAGAATAGTGGCCGGAGCAACAAGGTTGCGCGTACTTCTGCTATCAACCTCGGCCTGAATGTGAATGACCTCTTGAAACAGAAAGCCATCTCTTCCTCAATGCACTCTCTGTACGGGCTGGGCCTGGGTAGCCAGCAGCAGCCACAGCAGCAGCAGCAGC